AAGAGAGAGAGATGGAATTTGAATAGGTGTTATTTTAGTGTTTGTTTGGATAAAAAATTTAGTCAAAGGGGTTCAAGGGGTTATAAGATAGAATAGATGGAAACTTTTTGCTTACAAGTAATATTTTCAATTCTTGGGTCTTATAAGATATGGAAGTTAAAAATAGGGGATAAGGAGATATTTTCTCCAATATTATTATAAATACAAGGAAAACTTTTATATAAGGTGTCAACGTTATACTGTAGAAGGTGTACCGTAAAATCCCATTGAAGAATGTTGTTTCTTCTCCAAGTGATCATCTTGACCTCGATATAGATGGATATTAAGTCTATTCATACAATAGACTTAATAAATTTTAAAGAAAAAAAGAATTTTAAGTCTTAGAAGCAGTATATTTTGTAACACCTTATCTAGACCGTTCATTTTTAAGATTTTCAAGTGTTCATAAATCTGCTAGATCTGTACCATTTATGGAGCATTCAATTTCATAATAGAGGTGAAAAATAGACTCTTAGACCATGATGAGAGTTTACACACCGAAAATACATCTTTTAACGAGATTTTGAGATGTATCTTATCGTGAATGTTTAAGGTTGACACCTTATACAAATCTCACCCTAAATACAATGATATTAATCCAAACACTAAATACAATGATATTAATGTAAACAGTAGATGGGCATGTTCGAAGTCTCTTATCAGATGCTATTCATACAATAGACACTTATGTTCCAAGAGATATTAATCCCATAAAATATAAATTAGACACTACTTTCACGAAATGTAAATTCCATGATAGACATCTTCCCAATAATATGTATCTCTAGGTATCCGAACATGCCTTAATGGAATGAGAAATCTCATGTTAACCCTCCAGGGCTGACGCTCAAGAGTGAGGGAGAGAATTGTATGGGTGTTTGGACGTGTGTATATGCATGTGTGAGAGAGATGGTATTTTAATATGTAAGAAAGTGTTACATGCATTGGGAACGCATTCCTACATTTGTATCCCCTGATGCATAAATCGTCCATCCAAAGATGGATGTAAAAATGGTCGAAAAATAAAAAAAAAAGAGTAAAATCAATGGTTTGAAAATTTCCTTCCAAAAAATACCACTTTTAGTTTGGGAAATTATCATAAATATATTTTAATTTTTGTCTAATTGAAAAAAAAACCAACTTTTATATACTTCGTCCACACTCTTTTTTCTCAATTTTGATATTTTTTTACTAAAATAGCCTTCACAATAGTCGTATTACCGTGATGACTACCGCATTTCGGTACTTTGACCAGGCTAAGAATTACGATACTTTAAGTACCGTAATGACCAGAATAAACATTACATTACTTTAAAGACCGTAATGCTCACCGGGTCTCTTTCTCCCTAATTTGCCACATCTAAATATTCCAGTATTTACAGTACCGTAATGCTTAATCTGGTTATTATGGTACTTAAAGTACCATAATACTTAGCCTAGTCATTACGATAATATGACTATCGTAAATGTTATTTTGGTCCAAAAAATATCAAAATTGAGGGAAAATGGTGTGGATGAAGTTTATGAAAGTTGAGGGTTTCCTTCCAACTAGGCAAAAATTAAAGTATATTTCTGATATATTCTTTTTTAGTTTTTAATTTTTATTTTTTTACGTATAATTAATTTTCATGTTAGACATTACATATAGAAAACTGTTTCATGCGGGTTGGACCGCAGGATTACACATATGCAATCCAAAAAGTGTAAAGCATCCATATTAAATATGGATGCAAGTAGGTGTTCTATCTAAAAACAATGAAATCTAACGGTCCAAATGTTTTTTTATTAGAATTATTATTTTTAGTTTTTTAAATTTACTTATTTTTTTCATATTCATGATCTCCATGATAGAGATTACATGTCCTTAAAAATTAAGTCAAAAAATCCTTTTAAAATATAGATTTATTAATAGGCCTGCATTTCTATATGCTGGCTTGGCCGTATTGAAACCGGGTCCATTACATATTCCTTGAAAATTAGGATCAAAATATATTTTGAAAATCGATTAGTGAAAAGATTTCCTCCTCCCTAGGGAGGATACAATCGATTTCCTCCCTCATGTAAAACACTTGCTAAGATACTTTTTGGATCTCAAATTTTGGGAATGTAATCTCTACAAGCCATAGAATAGTCATGGCAAAAAGAATTTTTGAAATAAACTCTCTATTTACTAGAAAAAAAGTATGCCTCAAGATTGAGAAAAGACCGTCCAATTTTTGAAGGGTTAGATTCAAGTGCCACATAACTTAAAATTCAATTTTTGTTCTTTTAAAAGTAATCATCTAGTTATTACTATGTGTTTTCCAAAATTTTAGACTAAGAAAATTCTCTTAAATAGGTGTTTTGAGCGAGGGAGGAGATGCGCAATGCCCTTCTTAGGGAGCATAATATATGCGCTCAATAAATTATTAAGGGGGCCGCATTTCTACCTATGAGTCCAGGAACTAATAGAAACCGTGTCCTACTATGAAAAATGTGAAATTGTTCTTATAGTCAGGGATGCAGATTCTACAAGGCTAGGCTTCATGAAAACAAAGTAAAGCTTCATCTTGATTCCTAGTATAAAAAGCACTTTGAGCATCGAAAATCTCTACCATAGTTTTATAATCAATTTTTAATACCAACTATGAAATTTAAACTCAAAACATGGTAATGGTACAACCCTTAGTTTTAGGGTGAAATGGTCAGTACAGATTATATGTTACAATATTCATTATTGTTAGATCTTAAAATCCTAATTTTTTTCACAAACACAATGGTAAAGGCCGATATGATTGTTTCGAAGATTTCTCGTACTAGAAATGTCATTTTCAGTTTTTTTTTTTGATTGGAGGATTTACTTATTTTGATTGGCCCTGTCAGAACATTTTCTTACAGTCAAACGTATGTTTGAGAGAGGAAGGTAAAATAATAATGTCAAGCTAATGTATTTTGGTCTAAATATGCCGTTAGTAAAGCACTAACGTCCGCCATTAGGTACGACTTTCCCACATGTGAGGTGGATAACACTTTTAAGCGAACGGGACCATATACTCCCTAAATGCTTAGAAAGGACTTAGATTATGATGAGTTGGATTTGCATTGGGAATTGTGTGGTTTCGTTATTATGATTGATTGATTCATTCTTTAAGGAAAGCTTTCAAAAGATTGTTGGTTGGTTTTAAACACTCGGCAAACTTTTTATCCTTCTTACCCAAAAACAAACCACGAATCACTTTTCATCATCCTTTTGCAACACTCATTGAGGTGATTTGCATCACTCGCACTAGACAAAAAGGGTAGTTTCATCGATTCTACTTGCAAATTTTTCGGGGGTGGCAATGGATCCGGTTTTGGGTTTGGGTTAAAAAATTGGATTAGATCAGGTCCGGAATTAAATCTTGGACCCAAACACTATTTTTTGGATCGGGTCTAGGTCCCACATTATATTTTTTTTTATCCAAATTTGTAAAATATATTCATAGATATTTTGATTTTTGTGTCAGGGGTTCGGACCCCATGATATTTTTCCTTTTTCTAGTCCGAATCCAAGTCTAATCCAACCTGTTGTCATCAAGGGTGTTCAAGATGATTTACAACACATTAAAACGAGTAAGTCCCTTATTTGTCAAAAAAAAAGAAAAAAAGCCTCTCTCTATCTCAACACTCACAATAGACAAGAGGGTGGTAGTTCATCAATCCTAATTGCAGACTTTTCAGCACTCATATGGATCTTTATAATGATTTACAACAACACATTCAAAAGAGGAAGAAGCCTCTCTCTCTATTCTAGGTAAAGGGCGAAATCCCACCCCGAAGACAAAATTCCTTTTGAAGCTAACATACACTCATTAAGCATTATGGTTTTTTGCAACAAACTCAAAAGATTCTCTCTCTCTATTATATTGGGATTTAATGCGAATATTCCTACTTCACCATAAAATACGATTAGAATCTAAATCTCAACGTGATTAGATAAAAATAAGACTCCGTTGATCGAAAAAAATGGCTTTCTTTTCGCCACCTCCGCCCTTTCGAAATTCAAGGGATCCGTTCGCCTAATTTAAATTTCGAAATACTTTATTTTCATCTAATACAAAATTACATAAACACGAACATATCGTTTATTTTCATCTAATACAAAATTAGATAAAAACGAACATATCGCTATCTAGGAATCATATATTGGGAATTAAGTTAGGGACCCGATTTCTACGCTGTCAAGCCCGCATATGTAAAAAGGTTTACGAAAGTTGAGGTTTTTTTTCTAAATAGAAGAAAATTAAGGTACATTTGTGATAATTTTTTTATCAATTTTATTGGGCTAAGGCTGATGCCGTTTTTGCTCGATAAGGGCTGGGACAGGCATGTGCCAATCCTGTGGGGATTGGGATTCGGCTACATCCACAGGCGGCCTGGCCCGGCCCGGCCCATCCGTAATGCTTTCCCTCTTTTCCTTAAATGACCAAACCACTAACGGCAACGCTTGCCAAAGGGCCAATATCTTATTAAAATGAGGGTATTTATGTCATTTTCATAAAATTTAATACAGGGCACCGTCACAAACTTGACAGAGACCGAAGAACCCTCCACCTGGGAGAGCAATTAGATGGCACAATGGTCATATCTGGAGAAAAAATGGGGGCACTCTCGCAATTTTCCCCAAAAACGGGGAACCTCGTACCCGAAAGGGAAGGGTCATGGAAAAAGATGGGGGCTTTTTCGGTCATTATTTTCAGGATCCAGGGGCAGGCGCGGACATTCATTCAGAAAGGGTTAAAAATGTAGCCGTTGGGCGTTGCAGGGAGCTCCACTCCAAGAAGTAGCCGTTGGTCCCCCCTTCAACAACTAAACACTCCGATTCTGACTCTCTTTCTTTCTCTCTCTAACCCCGAGGCTCCCTTCACATGCTCCACCACCCCTCTCTCTCTCTCTCTTAAAATTCAAACCTCTCCTCTCTCTCTACCTTCTATCTCTCTCTCTATATCCCTTGTATCTATCTCTCCAATCTCTGTAAATCAGTATCTCTTTCAATCTTCTCTCTCTCTAAAATCTCTCGAGAAAACTGTTCTGGTTAAGCTCTCACTTCTCTCCCTCTCTAAAATCTCCTAAGAAAACTGTCCTGGTTAAGCTCTCACTCTGTCTCTCTCCCTTCACATGTGGTTTCCTCCTCCCAAACCTATCTTTTCTCTGTACCTCTTATCGCCTCCGTACATCTCTCATCCATCTCTTTCTCTTTCTCTTTCTTGATAAACCCATCATTTTGTATTTCTATCTGTTTCTTTCCCAACTTATCTTCTCTCTCTCTCTAACTCTTTTCCTGATCAAACCCCCCATCATTTTGCCGACCTTTCCCTTGCATTCCGTCTCTCTCTCTCTCTCTCTGAAACCCCATTTGCATCTACCTCATACTTCCAGTTTTCATTGCAAAACCCATCTGCTCTCTCTAGAGACTTTTTCACCCATCGTTCCATATCGACCTTCTCTCTCTACCTCTCTTCTGCTGTCTCGTAGACAATGTTACGGCAGAAGAAATCCGAAACCAAGAGGAAGAAGAGAGAGAAACAACTCATCTTGCGGAACCTGCCATTGCTTCTGCAGCTTCCTCTAGTCCTCATTGCCGTCTTTCCGTTTCAAACCGCTTTTTCTCAGTCATGGGACGGAATAGTAGTGACCCAAGCTGATTATCAAGCTCTTCAAGCTTTTAAGCATGCTCTCGACGATCCCAAAGGGGTTCTGAGGAGCTGGAATGATTCAGGAGTTGGGGTTTGTTCAGGTGGATGGATTGGGATCAAATGTGTTCAGGGCCAAGTTATAGCTATTCAGCTTCCATGGAAGGGCTTAGGCGGCCGTATCTCTGAACAGGTAGGCCAGCTCCCTGCTTTAAGAAAGCTCAGTCTCCATGATAATGTGATAGAAGGAGCTTTTCCTTCCTCTCTTTGGCTTTTGCCCACTCTAAGAGGAGTTTATCTCTTTAACAATAGGCTTTCGGGCACTATTCCTCCCATTGTTTCTCTATCACCTCTGCTTCAAACTCTTGATATTCGTAACAATTCTTTCACTGGGGTTATTCCGAAAGGGTTTGCAAACTCTACCAGACTGTATAGGCTCAATCTGGCTTACAATCGGTTTGTTGGTTCGATCCCAGTTGATCTTACGCAGTCTTCGTCTCTCACCTTTCTCTCTCTACAAAATAATAGTCTCTCTGGTCCCGTTCCTGATACTTGGGGTGGTGGGATAAGAACTAGTCTTGATTCAGAAGGGTCCTACCAGCTTCAGTTGTTGAATTTGGAGCATAACTCTCTCTCTGGACCGGTGCCTCCTTCTCTCTCTAGGCTCAAAAAACTAGAAGAGCTTTACCTGGGTTCTAACCAGATCAATGGAAGCATGCCAGAGGAGTTGGGAGAGTTGCCAAGGTTGCGCAATCTCGATCTTTCCAGCAACTCCATTAGTGGAAACTTGCCCCTCCCTCTCTTAAACCTCTCGTCGTTAGTCCAACTAAACATTGGTAACAATCAAATCAGTAGCACTATCCCAGAAGCCATTAACAAGCTTGAGAAGCTCTCTGTTCTGGTACTGAAACATAACAGAATCAATGGCTCAATCCCCTCTTCTTTAAGCAAAATCTCTGGTCTCTCTCAGCTCGATCTCTCTGAAAACAATCTAACAGGGCGCATTCCTCCAAGCCTAGCTGATTTACCCAATTTAGACTCATTGAATGTCTCTTATAACAACCTCTCTGGCTCTGTTCCCCCTCTTCTCTCTCTAAAATTCAACTCAAGCTCATTCAAAGGAAACCTCCAACTATGTGGATACAGTCCATCAGTCCCCTGCTCAGCTCCACCACACCCACCCTTCCCCCCACCCTCTAACCCCCCGAACTCCCACAAGAAGGAACTCACCAAGAGAGAGAAGATACTCATAATAGTGGGTGGCGTCTTACTAGTCTTTGTATTGCTCCTCTGTTGCTTATTGATCCTATGCTGGGTTTCTAGAGAGAGAAAGAAGACTAATGGGAAAGGGGGAAATGGTGCAGGGGCAAAAGGGGTGGCACCACCTGTAGGGGGTGGAGGAGGAGAAGAAGGAGGGGGTGAGGCTGGGGGAAAATTGGTCCATTTTGATGGGCCATTGGCCTTCACAGCTGATGATCTGTTGTGTGCAACTGCTGAAGTTATGGGAAAGAGCACTTATGGGACTGTGTATAAGGCCACATTAGAGGATGGGAATCAGGTTGCAGTGAAGAGGCTTAGAGAGAGAATATCTAAAGGGCAGAGAGAGTTTGAGGCTGAGGCAGGGACTTTGGGGAAGATAAGGCACCCGAATTTGCTTCCATTGAGGGCTTACTACTGGGGTCCCAAGGATGAAAAGCTGCTCGTTTTTGACTTCATGCCTGGTGGGAGCCTCGCTGCATTCCTTCATGGTATGATCTGCTTCTTTCCATTGTTCTTCTTCTTGTTTATGAGTATATGTGGTGTATATCGTTTTTATAGAGAGAGAGAGAGAGAGAGAGAGATTCAAATACTTCTCTGTCAACTATAGAACACGCAGCACCTTGCCTGCCTTACATGGAAACCAAGCTTCTTTCATATGTATGTGTAAATATCTAGCAAAACTCTAGTCTATTTGTTTTTAATCTAATTTATTAAATACACATGTGAGCAGCAAGGGGCCCTGAGACGCCAATCGACTGGAGCACACGCATGAACATTGCCATCAGCACAGCCCGCGGCCTCCACCACCTCCATACACGTGAGAACATCGTCCACGGCAACCTCACTGCTGGCAACATCCTCCTTGACGAAGACCGCAATGCAAAGATCGCCGACTTCGGCCTCTCCCGCCTCATGACCGCCGCAGCCAACTCCAACGTCATTGCCACCGCTGGTGCCCTTGGCTACCGAGCCCCCGAGCTCTCAAAACTCAAGAAAGCGAGCACAAAAACGGACATCTATAGCCTTGGGGTTGTTTTGTTGGAACTTCTAACCGGCAAGGCTCCTAGTGATGCTTCTAGTACTGGTGCTAGTTTGCCCGAATGGGTGGCCTCTATAGTTAAGGAAGAGTGGACTAATGAGGTCTTTGATCTTGAGCTCATTAGGGATTCAGCTAACACTGGGGATGAACTATTGAACACTTTGAAGCTGGCTTTGCACTGTGTGGATCCTTCTCCTTCTGCTAGGCCAGATATTGAGCACGTTTTGCATCAGTTGGAGGAGATCAAGCCTGAGTTAGCAGCAACACAACCAGAAGCTGGTGCTACCACTTCTACTACTGAGGCTGCTGCCTCTGCCTCTTGATGACTGCTTACTTGGCTGGCTCTCTATTAATACCATTTTTAAACTTGGATGAATTGGACACTGGTTCACATCCAAGTTGAGAGGAAAGAGCGACTTTATTCTTTCATTCTTGTTGTTGTGTGACTTAGGATTTTGGATTAATGTAGTAGTAGTTGGTTGAGAGAGGAGCCAGGTCCAGGTCTCCTAACTGTGATGATTTGATGAATTTTGCTTGTATATAAGTACTGTTACATCTGTTGGTTTTAATTAAAAGAATAAAGAATAAGACCATTTATTTTTGGTATAAGGTCACTGCTATTATTGACCGTAATTGAAATCAGATTGTTAGTGATGTGCCATCAAGTGCACACAAAGTCCAAAATAAAATCTCCGAATGTTGTGTGGATTTCAAATCCATGGTTAAGAGTGATTTTACCTCTTTGTACCAAAAGTTAATTGTCTTGTAGTATACAATCTCTTTAATTAATAATTAATTATAGCTTTCTTGTATTAGCATGCCTGAAAAGATACAGTGACAAATTAATGACTGATGAATTCATATTGTAAGATAGTATTAGTATGCTCTTTGTTATCGGAGATTTCTTGCATTAGAATTGACCTTAAACAGGCAGGTCAAACATCTCAAACAATTGTAAAAATGTTTTTGAAATTCATTAGTAAGTTAGGAAAACGTACCTAGAAAACTTAATAAAAGCTCAAACCAAGTCACCCAACATGTCTCATCCCTCTACATAACCAGGATATGTCCAACTTCCAGTGTTGATATTCTACCACATCAAAGATACAATGTTCCTGAATTCAAGGAGCTCAAAATCTGTGTCAAACAGTTCATGTGTTCAACAGAACACATGAAGTAATAGTTGAGGAAATGATCGACGTCAACTTAGGTATAAGGAGGACCCCCAAGGAATGGGAAAAGATAGTCTCAATCCTACAAGAATATTGAGACTTCTTCGCATGGTTATACGCCAACATGCTTGGGTTGGATTTTGGTTCTGCTCCCAATAGTCACACTGGTACGGATTTTGGTTCTGCTCCCAAGAGTCACACTGGTTAAGATTTTGGTTCTGCTCCTGAGAATCACACTGGTTCAACAGCACTTCTGGAATCAGCCCCTCTGGCATATTACCAAAACCAATAAAGAGCTAAACAAGCTACTCAACGTGAGATCCATAGTTTCGATGGTTTACTCAAATTAACACACCAACATCATCACGGTCACTAAAAAAGATAAATATGTAAGAGTGTGCATTTACTGCCAAGATCTCAATAAGCTACGCTCCAAAGAGAACTCCCCTCGTCCCAATATTGATTATGTTGGTAAAAAATAACACCGAATAAGAGATGGTGTCCTCCTTGGATAGCTTCTCCAAATGCAATCAAATAAAGATGGTGATAGAGGATCAGAAGGAGATCATGATCACCAATCTATGGGGAACTTGCTATTAAAATGTCATGCCCTTTGGCCCAAAATTTGCTAGGGCAACCTATCAATGTGATTATAGTAAATATTCCATGATATGATGCGTGACATCATGAAAGATTATATAGACAACATTCTCCTAAGGTTGAGGACTTGTGAATGACATATCTAAAACCGAGATGATTGTTTAGGACAGCTTCATCCCCCATTTTCCATTTCCTTGCTCTTTTTTGCTGAATTTTCTGGGGAGCTTGTCAACTATTCTCTCTCTAAACCAAATCATTATTGAACATGTTTTGTGCAATCAAAGCACGAGTCGAGGTGTCCATCAGAAGGCAAAACATTACAATGTTGCATCTCTGGCATTCTCTTCAAGTGCGCAAACCAAAGAGAGTTACGTTCGTTCACTAGGCTAAGTTGTATCCTAGAGGTATCCACATCAGAGTTCCATTTGCACTTAACAGCTCAAGTAGAGGGCATTGAATACCTTGAGCATAGCGAGAGCATCTCATGCCTCCAAGTCCATTTCAACGTAGCATGTCTTCTCATTTGTGCATATCTGAGCAGTATTCTTCCCGGCAGCATAATGATCCATTCAATTGTTGCTTTATGCAATGAAGCTCCAACATTTCTATATTGCTTGTTAACTATATATATCAACACTTTCAATTGCCATTAACAGCTTGGTCAGCTGTTTTTATTGTTGTTAACAGCTCTACATTGTTTTATAGCATTGCTTTATGCAATATTGAATGATTGACACTTTTAGCTGCTATTAACACCGCAATGTTACTTCATGCAATCTAAGTTATATTGCTTCATGCAATTTCACAACGGCCAACAAGTTTTTTTATCAATGACATTGTAGCTAATATGCTTTGTTGGCTGTTAACTGTTTGGTTAACAATTCTCGTTGTGATTAAACTTTGGAGCCAATTGCATTATTTATGAAGACAAGACAGACCCATATGTTGATTTTTTAGGACCCAAAAATAACATTTCTCACTTGAATAATAATTGTTTACTCTCTCACTCACTGCACTCAATGCCAGGTTTTGAAGTTGCCCCTCCATCTCTTCTGTTTAAAATCGGTCTATTCAAATGCCATGCATTGTTAATTTCCTTTAATATAGCAAAGTGGACAGGGGTGTATAAAATATGAACCCAATCTCCTCTCTCTCACAAATAACATCACATGCTTCCATTGGGAGATGGAGAATGTGGCTCAATTATCTCAAAGACTAGAAAACAATCATTTTTAAGCATGTCGCTAGAATAGATTGAAAAGTTGATATCGGTAGGGCAGCCAGCACAAGGCTTTGCCATACCTTTTCATGAATCTTGAACTTATGTTATATGCTCATATTAGGGTGTTCCCTTTAAGCAATATACTATATAGCAGGGTATGGCCCTTGATAAAGCAAAATGACAGAACTTGATTTATATAGCTGACCCCAAATAAGTAGGATAAGGCTCGGATAATGATGATGATGAAACTTTGACATCATGGTTAAGAAGCAACACCAATGAAGAAAAACTTGGCCTTTAAAGTGTCATCATTAGCTACAACCGAAGAAAATCTAAAATTCTAGTCTTTCTTCTCCTCCATGCGCTAGTGTACTTCAATGCACTCACCAAATTTCAGTAAAAACAATGAAAAATGCAAAGCAGGAGTTATATGTCTTCAATATTCATGAAAATTAATAATCATGGGGTTCCATGGGTCTGCATCAACTACTTTAATACTGGGGAGCTCATTTTGAACACTCGTCAAAATGGATCAAAGCTTAGAATTGTAGGCCAATGCATCCTCATTTTGTTCCCTATAAATGGTCCTTCAAGAAATTTGTTGGGTCTTTTTCCAAGGTCTTAGGATCTTCAAGGAGAAACAGCTTGAAAGACATTTATGAAAGGTGATTTTCTTAACGTTATCAGATGGTGTAATACGCAGCAGAGAATTCCATAGATGTTACACTTTGTGGTTCCATAGATGTTACACTTTGTGGTTATCTGTTGTGGAGATTAATGATTCAATTGATGTTTCTTTCAAACATATTTATAGGGAAGCAAATGAGTCAGCAGATGGACTTGCTAAGCGGGGTGTAGGTCTGGAACAATTTGTGTTGCTGAGGGCAATGTGATGTTTTGACATTAATAAAAGCTCTGAACTTTGTTAAAAATAAAAAATAAATAAAAAAAAGAAGAAAGAAAGAAATTCCTTCTGTCATTTGTAAAGTTCCCACCACCCGGTTCATGTCCTCTCTAATGAAGTTAAAAAAAAAAACGCACTATTAGAAAATAGGGAAATTATCTCTAATATACCTAAATTTTATTAAAATTGGAAAAAAAAACCCTAATTTTTTAAAACCTCGCCCACACCCTTTTTCCCAATTTTGGCTTTTTTTTTGTACGAAATTACCCTTAACGGTAGAAAGACTACCATTATACACTGTGTTGGTATTACGGTACAAAAACTACCGTAATAATTGGAATTTATATTATAATAAAGAGAGTACTGTAATATCTTATGTTTCAATTACGGCATTCTTAATATCGTAATTCCTTTTGATTTTATTACGGCAATCATATTGCCGTAATTGTTTGGCACCTATAAACCCCTAACCGAAACCTTATTCTCTCATTAAGGTCCGTGAACCCTAGAAAGGCCGATTACAGTTTTCCTTCTACCATAGTCTGTGAACCCTAGAAGGTTGATTACGGTTTTCCTTCTTCCATTATAAAGCTCTGTCCCTCATCACAGGTATGTGTTTTGGTCTGGATTTATTTCACGTTTTCGAGTTGTTTTCGAGTTATATAAAATTGTTATTTTTGCGATGTAAAATCAACCTAAATAGATTTTGGATGAAATTGAGAGATGACAATTTGGGTTTGTTTTTTTTGGCTTTATGATAGATGCCTTAGAAAAACGAAACAATGAATTATTAGTAAATTATCAGTGAAAAGAACTACATCCAAATAACTCTATATATAAAATTTCTTACAATATGGAATTATTCTGAGTTTATAAAATTGTTAGTTCTATTATATAAAATCGATTTAAATAAATAGTTTTTGGATGAAATTGAGAGATCATCCAAATTTTGGATTTGTGTTTTTTTTTTGGGGGAAATTGTTCTTGAATATGTGGATTATTGAGTTTTTAGCTTTGATTTCATTGGATATTCGTGTTTATACTGTATTAGCAGCGATCTACAAATAGGTATCAAACTTTTATTTGAAGTTGTTTAGATAATTGTATTAGCCATGATTTTATTGGGCATTCATATAATTGTTCTCGAAGTTGTATCATCAAAATTTTATTTGAAGTTTTCTTTTGTCGATTTGTGATAGTTGAGATCTCTTTTACATTGTGTCACCTAGAAGACATTAGTCCATCAGGTTGGATTCAATGTTTAGGAACTGATGTATACAATATTGATCATCGATTTCTATGTCCCCCTCATATGTAAAATTTTGATTGTGACATTGTGTTTTTCAAGCATTTGTGTCCCAATTTGTTAATCTCAAGCATAGGGAGAATTATTGTTTGAAGTTTGAAGTTTTTCTTTTGTGGATTTGTGATAGTTGCGATCTCTTTTACTAGTATCACGTAGAAGACTAGTCTAGTAACTGATTTATACAACATTGATCATTGATTTATGTCTCTCCCTCATCTGTAATTTCCAATGTAACTTACGCAACCACCATCCACTAATAGTAATAATGATTACTCTTTGGCTTTTTGAACAATAATAATGATTTATGATGGTTTTTTCAATAGTGAACATGGTGGAAGATGCACCTTTCTTTGGAGGTCCTTAATTCCTACATTGCTTACTAGACAGAGAGAACATATATCA